CTTTACTTATTTGCTATCATCTCTGTGCTCTCTGAGCCGAGTCTGAGCAAAAAATTTAGATATAACAACAAGACGGTTCATTCATAATATTATTTAAAAAATAATCAATAATAACTCACATCACTCATGAAGGAATCCATTATCACCGTGCGTGTGCATTAACTCCGCCCACCCTGCTTCTGATGACGTCGCCCGTGTTTTTTTTTTTCCACCTTATTTCAAATTACCGACTCACACTTTTCTCATCCTAATTTTACAAGTTGAAAGTTACAAAACAACACACGCACAGCGCTGACTGACTCTGATAACGGCCGGGTGTCCTCCGAGTCCGATCGACTCGGGTATTACACACAATGTTAAACAGACCCGGGACCCGAAGTAATGGATTGGGACCCGACCCGGGCCCGGCTGACCATTTAAAATATAGCCCCGAACCCGTACGGATCCCGGGTCGGGTGCTGGGTCCTCAGGTCTCGGGTCCTCCGTGTAGACCTCTACTCCTGACCCATAGGTATGTATTTGTTTAGCACAAACGGAGACATATTTATATTATGCTCCGTTATGCCGTGAGAGCTCATCAACTTCTGAACTAATTGGGGCGATACATTCTTGGCAATCCGCTGTTATGCCGAGGACTTGCGGCTATACATCACCCAGATCGACTGCTGTGAGTTTCCTTCACCCCCCACCAGTAAGCACTTTCAGCTCTCTCCTAAGGAAAGAGGTTCAACACAAACGCTAGGCATTACCGTCATCATTACCTGCAGGAGAGATACATTGCTGTGTCAGTGAAAAGCTGCTAAGGGAAAAAGCAGCGACCCACGAGAATTCAGCCCGGGACGCAGTATCCTTGGCACTTGTGTTCCGTCAGAACTGCTATTTTTGCTGTTTCTACCTGCTTTTTGCTGTGTCGGGGCCTGGCTCCATGTGATTTGGCCTCGGTTTAGCAAAACAAAGGCATTGGGGGAGAAAAGTGGTCTTCTGAATGGAGATAGTTTCTCTAGAGAAGCCACCTGCCTTACATTTGTCATTTAAATATGTATACAGATGATGGTGCCATCTGCCAGTGCAGTTGGAGAGGGAAAAATTGGTGGAAACTCACTGAATTCCTGAGGTGGTGCTGGTGGTGGGGTTCAGAAAGGGGGATGTACAGGTGCCACGGAGCATTAACCAAATAAATTCAAAATATCAGGGAATTCAAAAGGAGCAATGCCGCAAATAGTCCTATTGAATATTTGACAGCTTCAAGTTGAAATGATCGGCTTGTGTTTCTTTAGACAAAGCTTTGCATCATGCGTTTTCATTTAAAGATGTTTTAAATGTCATTCTATGCAGTCGAAATACATTCCTGATGAATGGCCTTGTTTCTTTTTATTATCAAATCAGAGGAAATATTCCCGGATCAGTACAAGTTAAGATCAGTCGACAGAATGTGTGGCATAATGTTGATTATGACAAACTGGTCTCTTGTCTCTCTTTATCCTTAAAAAAGCAAAAACATGGGTTATAGTGAAGCACTTACAATCGATGTGAATAAGGCCAATTTGTAAACAATATTCAAAATAGTCACTGTTTTAGTAGTATGGCCACTAGATATAAACAGTATGCATATTAACACAATTTTAGTGTGGAAGAAAAAAAACATACTAATATTTTCTGTCAAAACCATTGTTGCAGCTTCGTTGTCTTCAGAACACAAAGCCCTAGCTCAAATAATACACTAGTTTTGACTTCTTCTTCTTATTATTATTATTATAAATAAAATTATAAGCCTCACATTTATGCTTCATGAAGCCATCGCATACTCCAAAATTTGGCCCCAGTGACTTTGAATGAAAGTGTCTTAACAAATATTATTCTACCAATGCTGAGCTTATATTTTATTGAACCCAAAATCCTTTTTTTCCCTTCTTCTTTTTAATGACAAACAGATTTCAGACTTTTCAGCCATTGGTTGAGCCAATGCTGTACATTTCATGGGAATCATATATAAATGGCTTATTTATAGCTGCCACTGCATATTAAACTGGGATGGGAAAAAGTATTTTAACATGAAAAAATTACATACAACATATACAGCTATAAAACACATTTTTGCATTTCATGCACTCTTTGTTATATTTGCCTTATGACTAGTTTGTAGTAAACTGAATTTGGTTGTTATTGGAGCATTTTTGAAAACTTTTAACATATTTTATTTAAATCATTTAAAAAAAAATTCTGATTATTTATTTATTTATTTTTCACCAAAAATAATATACTGTATATTGTATCCTAGATATACAGCATTCCAAAATGAGAGCATATACTTTTTACGATTTGTGAACATATAGTGCTCTGGGACTTACCAGCAATGTAAACATTCAAATAAAATGATACAATAAGTTGTTCTAAAACCTTTGTACTTTGTACTATATTGAGCTAGCCTGTACCAAAGACATTCCTTCTTGTGTTTTGGGTTAGATTAAAGCCTCAAGCAGCTGAAATCTAAGAAGGGACAGGCAGACAATCTCAAGAAACTCCACCTACAGGAACTACATCATTCACACATAAACAGAATTTGCCTGAGAAATAGTCCAACCATATTTAGGCAGCTGAGTTTTAAACCCTCAACAGATTAAATGTGGTTGTCCAAATAAATGACAGCATGTCACAGATATTCTTGAACATCTTGAACCCGGAACATTCTTTTAAGCTGCGGCAGCACAAGTGTTTATAAGGAAGATGGCTAACATTTGCAGCACTTCCTAATGACCGGAGTAGTAGGAGAGTAGGCCAAAACACTCTTTCTCTCTAAGAGCCTCAGACTCAGGTAAGTGGTTTTATTTTGAGCCGCGGCATGGAAGCCGAGGGAGAGCGTTCTCCAATGTTCCTTCATTTCATGGAAGCCCGGGTCAAAAATATGTAGCGGCAGGAGCGTGCGGAAGATTTCAGGCTTCGCTGTTTACAACTAGCCAATGAATGTACTTTGACATCTCCTGGGAAAATTCTTGCTGGTTGCCTTCACAAAGCGCACAGGAAAATAGCTCCATTTTTTCCTTTGGTCCGCAAGCGCCGTTTCTCTCTCTCTTTCTCTCCCACTTCTGATTTTATGAGGTGGGGTGAGAGAGTAACGGAACTGCGGGCATTTAAGAGTGCCATGCAAACATGTCAGCAGTGAAAAGATGGGGGTGAAAAGTACCACTGCACAAAGAAGATGGAGAGGATACACGGAGAGATGGAAGACTGCACTCTCAGTCAAGTGCTCAGTTAGTAAATATTTCAAAACTGCAGTCAAAAGAACGATGTTTTTTTTTTTTTTTTCTTTTCAGTGGGTCTGGATGACATCTTAGAGACATTTTTAAGACAGCACAGAAGATGGATGACAAGCAAAGGAAATCTCAGAAAACATACAGTAAAAAAAATAAAAATGAAAAACTTTAAGGAAAGGTAAAATGTACAAAAATGTATATATTAGCAGAATTTAAATCATATTGAATAGGGGAATAAACTTTTTTATGTAATTTTATTTTATTTTTTGTACACTGAATCAACTGATTCATTGAAAGAACCTCAAAAGACTGATTCCTTTATGAATCTATCATATATGAATATATCAAGAAGAACATTTGGATGTTCTTAGTATTATTGTGTATGATTCATTGGTGCATGTTAGTCCAAATATTTGATTGATTGATTGATTGATTGATTGATTGATTGATTGATTGATTGGTTGGTTGATTGATTGGTTGGTTGGTTGGCTGCTTGGTTGATTGATTGGTTGGTTGGTTGGTTGGTTGGTTGGCTGCTTGATTGATTGATTGATTGATTGATTGATTGATTGCTTGCTTGATTGATTGATTGATTGATTAAGTGTTAACCGGTAGCCCATTCTCTTATCTTGGTTATCGTGGCACTCATGGGCAAACAAACAAACAAACAAATAAATACATACATACATACTCACACACATGTATTCTTCAAAAGAATCTCCACCATGTTAAACACACCTCTGAATTGTTAATGTTTGTCTCTGAAAATCTCTGCTATCACAGAGATTTTTGTCGTACCTAACCAGTGGTTTTGTTGACTGACGATGGCAAAAGGTTTCAGCATTAAAAAATAAGGCTCATTTTAATATTCATATTGTTCTGGTTGTAAATGTTTCTCACACTCACACAAGTGGAGTGCTTTGACTAACCCCTCACCACCAAGGCAAATGCCATATTTAGTAAATTAGTCATGCAGAGTATTTGAAGGACATGTGTTTTTGAGTAAAGGTTTAAAACTTAAAACCTCAGATTGATGTGCATATGTTTAGTAAACAATTCCCAATTTATAAATGAACCTATTAAAGGAAGGCATATTATTTGAGGTAAATGCTTTGGCTAAATAATGAATGGCATGAGTAATTCTGGCCCATTGTCATGCATTCTTTCTTTGTAGCTATGTGGTCTATGCTTTATTCAATTTTTTTGGAGCCTTTTGTAACACATGCGTTCTCACTTGCACCCACATACAGAAAAGGCAAACTGCCAATGTTTACAAGGTTGTTTGTCTCATAATAGTCTCAGTCTCAGACCGCACACCCACAGTCTGTTCACTGACCGTCTGATGCATATTGCACACAAAACTGGAAAGCTTTTTTTTTCTTCTTCTTCTTCTTTTTTGGCAAGCTATATTCTGATTGGTGAGCTTTACACAACTTCCAGGAGTAAGAGCTCAGAATAAAGAATATCTGGAAACAAAGTTGTGTTTACAAGGTTCTGGGTTGACACAATGAGAACAGAATTAAATAATCACTGGAAAGTTTACCACTTTAGTGTCTTTTGGAAGCACTTAGTACCAAGTGAAATAGACATCCACAAGTTGATGTGTATTTGGCTTTCTGTGAAAAGGTCTCCACTTTTATGTTTAGATTCTTGTTTTGCTTCTCATTACACTTTTTATGATGTTGCCACAATGCATTAATGTTGTAATTGCCTAAACTTTTCTCTCTCTTTGTTTTTTATTTTCTTTAGGTCCTCCAGTCATTGTGGGAATGAGTATAAATATTGCCAGTATTGACTCCATTTCAGAAGTCAACATGGTTAGTAAAATTAATTTGGCATTATTTATTACTGTTGTTGCTGATTGTTGTTAGACTATCATAAAGATGAACCTCATGAATAGCTCGGTAAAATGTTAATTAGGCCTATATGTTGATATATCACAAAATATATCAGTATATTAATTATTGTGGCTGATGCACTTATAAAAAGTGTCTTTACAAGTCAATATATTATTTGATTTAATGTGTTCAATTATTGTTCTACACTGTAAGAAAAACAACTAATGTCCTTACAGAAAATTGCAGGAAATCTACAAACATTTCCTTCAACTTTAAAACTACACAATGCAATGTACAATTCAAAATATGTGCACAACACCTGTATAGAAAAAGAAAAAAAACGTCCCAGTGTACTGTGTACTATTAATACAGTACACTGGGACATATTTTTACAGACTTTCTTTGAGTACGAGTTTGGCATTTACTGAATATTTTAGCTGTGTTTCTTTGGAAACATGCAGTATGTTTAAAGGCTGTTCTATTGAGTGTTATGTAAGAAAATGATCAGTATGCATGATTATGTATAACTGCGGTCATGACCAATTATGTAGCATCAGTAGACCTTTTGGCTCTGGACCATCACCTCAAGTTAAACACCACCCTGGAGCCCTTAAAAAGCAGTTTACTTAAAGAGCAGTCGTCTAAATTTCTGCTGACAACTCCCTATACATACTTACTGTGGAGACCCCATGCAGACTTACTGCATTCATCATTTCTTCATGCAGAGTCAGGGACTTTGGTTTTATTGGTGCCTCGGCTTCAATGACTGTAGCCTGAATCCATAAAGCACCCCAGAGAGGAAGTGTTGCACCCGGATCAGTTTTCCTCAGGTTACTGTCGGATAATAATGGTTTGACAGCAGGAAATATGATCCTAGATTAGATTTCTTATTGGGAATTTTTTTTCAGAGAACACCAGAAAAAGAAAGCTGCTTCCACATTAGTTTGATTGCTTGGTCCTAATTAGAGCCCTTTTCCCTGCAGATCTCTTTTTACACTGTATTTTGGGTCTGAAACATGATACGATTTAATGCACTTTTTTATTTTTCTATTTCTATTGGTCTACTCAAAAATCATGGTTTTCGATTCATTAAAACCTGTTCTTGACGACTTTGGAAAAATAAAATAACATTTAAAATTAAATTAAATTAAATTAAATTAAATTCAAATTTAAGACTTGCCACAAATTATTTATACAGTTTGAGAAAAGACTGGCGACAGCATCAATGAGGGAATTCACTATACAGTATGCTGTATATAAAGTGTGACTGGAAACATGGAAAGATGTAAATTACACATTATACATAGCATTTTGCTTCTGTGATTTAAAAATGATTAGGAGGGAAATCAGAGGTCATGTCAACCTGTCAAGTGGGCTTGGGTGCGATTCGCTACCTTAAGACCCTCTGTACCAGTTAGATGGCTGAGCTTATGGCACTTGTGGAGACTTCAGTTCCCAGAGGCCCCTAAAGCATGCCGTGTCCTCATCATCAGAGAGGGCCCTTCGACAGTCATCGCAGGCAGCAGTCTTCACCTGACTAAAATAAACCCAGCCGAGCAGATGTGTGAACAGAAGACACTGTGCTCAGAATACATTAGCTCCTCATTTTCAGGAAACAATTTTTTTTTTCTTCACAGAAAAATTCATAACTAAATGCTTCTTTCAAAGAGGTACTTTGAAGATTATATATGGGGCAAGTTCATTTTACAGCTCTGACATTTCTCACTGTCCAGTTTTGCCTCAGAGAAAAAGGTTGATGAGGCAATCAAAATGGAGTAGAAAATTGGCTACTGGTTAAATATATGCTTCGTTTAAGTGTTCCAAGGAAGTTCCTAGAAGTCGTAATTACACTGTGATGTGTGTTAGAGTGATTTTGGGCAGAATTAAACAGACATTTTAGGCAATATATATATATGCATTTCACTTCAGACAGGTAGCTTTTTTTTAGCGAAAGTACACCAAAATTAATTTTTAAAAGATATTGTGACATTGCTGATTGGCCCAAACTATTCACTAGCGGCAGGCCAGAACTGTGACATTAAAGGTTAACAGCAAAGAAATATACAGCCATAGTCCATTGCAAACTTGTAAGTCTTCAAAAATAGTGCAGTATTTAAAATGCATTCCAACTAAATTGTATATACCCTAATTTGGAAGTTTGCAGCTCAATGAAAATCTACACTGGTAATGAGAATATTACGGTAGCATTCGTGTGCACTCATTTCGCAAATACAGTCACTCTGACATGAACTGAACGTAGCAGGGACATCTAGTGTAGTATTTCCTAACCCAAAGTAGAAAATAGTTTATGTTCTTACTCTGACTAATTTCTGTGAGTATCACTGCTGTAGAATGAATTGTTATAAACCCGTCATCAGGTTTAGACAGTGTTTATGCTGCAAGTCGTCTCCTTCATGTGATGCTTGCATTAAACCGCAGGTGTGTTAATCAGCTCTGGTCGCAGCATTATCAAACTCCAAGTGAAATTCAATTAGATTAAACTTTGCATGAAATCGCTCCGGGACATTGAAGGGACAGCACACTAGCTTCACAAAGGCTTTAAGAATGTACAGACATAACGGTCTAAAAAGTGGTTTCTGGTTAAATTATGATTATGAACATTTTGTGATTATTTATCAGTAATTACAAAATTAGATATACTCCCCCGGTTTCACAGACAAGGCTTAAGCCTATAGTCCTAGACTAAAATGTAAATCTGAGCCGTTTCAAATGAAAGAAACTTGCTTTGACTGATCTTAAAATATATCAGTGCCTTTGTTTTGTCTCAAGATGCACACCAGTAATGTTTTTTTTCCTAAGGCACGTTTATAAAAATTACTTAAATGTCCTAATTGAACTATGGCCTAATCCTGGTTTAGGCTAAGCCCTGTCTGTGAAACCGGGCCACTGAGTCCTAATTTGGGCTAAATATAAATTTTTCAAAATTCTGTTTCATTTTGATTGTTAATTAATGTTAATTCCTATAAAATTTTAAAAAGTTGTTTATTTAGACCATAATTGAACTTGATCCACATTCCCCCCCCGCAAATACAAAATAAACATTTCGGCCTTCCTTGGTGTGTGTCAAACTGTATAAACCACAACTGGTTTGTTCCTTATAGTGTAAGTTACCTTCTAGTCACACGTGAATCAAATAAACACAGTTATATACAGTGTTTGGGGAAAGTTACTTTTAAAAGTAATGCATTACAATATTGCGTTACTCCATAAAAAAAGTAACTAATTACGTTACTTAGTTACTTTTTATGGAAAGTAATGCGTTACCCCCAACACTGGTTATATAAACTGTTATCCATGATGTTTTGTACAGTATGTCCTCGTCTGTCAGTATTAATTCATAATTGTGATAGCATTGTGGATTGTGGCTCGGCTTCTTTGTTGCATGCAGTTCTATGGATCATGACAACACTTGGCAGAGGCAGATTTACCTTACAGTTTTATAAAATTGCAAAGCTTATTAGAAATTAATGTAGTATTCTTAATATTTAGTTTGGCCTTCTGTGGTTGACTGTCATAATTTTTCGATCGTTTGTTCAAAAATAAAAAATAAATACTACTTTCAGGAACTATTTTGTAAGGTTTAACGAAGCCATTAAAAAGACACAGAGATGATGCCATGTTTTCTTCCAACTGCAATCCCTCCATGTATGGCCACTGAAGAATTTTTCCATAATTTCCATACAGTTTCAGTCAGAAGATTTGATTTTAATTTGTTTGAAGTATTCACTCAGGTCTTCAAAACAAGTGTGTCTCTTTGATTTATCAATCACGAAGGTACTGCTGGAATGTCTTTGTACTGTGGTGTTTTGAAGATACTGTACCACAAGTTCTTCTGTCGGATGTTTTGTTTGACTTCCCTTTCCCCGGACATTAAAAAAATGTAGAGAAAGGTGCTGTGCTACATAAGAGAGGCAAAGAGCTGGGAGAAAGAAAAAAAAGAAAACTGATGAAAGTATGGTGACAGATCTTTTCTTCCATTTTGTGCCATACATCCGAGTGTAATGGATCATAGACAAAGAAAAAAAAATGCATTTAGAAAATAGATTGGGTGAACTTCCATTTCGTGCTGACTTTAAATGCATCTGTAATTTCTTAATTACCTGTATTGTCTTTGAAATGTGTACTGTCGAATGTACTGACAAGCAATTATAGTAAACTAAAATTTAAAGCTTGTATTTGGTTATGATGTCATCAATTGTACAGAAAATATGAAATTGGCTGAAATCTACAGTTTGTAAACAAGGGCCTTGCTGAGTGAATCAAGCACTTTAAGGACAATTTCCTTAAATCATGCAGCACAATTAAATGTAGGCTTATTACATTAGACTCGTGTCTACACGGAATGTATTATCATTAAAATGCAGTTCACAGTTAGCGTTGAAGCAGCGCTGAGACATATCAGTGGATCTTAATAGTGTCCTTAGCCAATCCTGTTTGCCCTACATCCAAAAGTCACTGCTCAGATGGACCTAATCTACGGTGACCGAGAAGTGCAAAGCAAATCACAATTCTGAAAACAAAATAACAAATTACAAACGCAAATGCAAGTCTAAAAAACAAAATAACAATTCAGAAAGCACAACAACAATTCAGAAAACATTATAACAAGTCAGAAAACACAATGACAAATCCGAAAACAAATTTAGACTTGCATTTGCGTTTGTAATTTGTTATTTTGTTTTCACAATTGTGATTTGCTTTGCACTTCTCGGCCACCGTACTAATCCCATCAAAACAGTATATTTGTCTGCTTATTCAATCAATATCAATGTCGGTACACATCTTAATCCATTTTATAATGTTTTCATTACCTTCTCTATAATGAGTTTGTCCTCCTGCATGTTCCAATTCTGTCAAACCAGAGCAAACACACATGAGACTTGATTTATTTATTTATTTTTTTCATTTGAAACATAATACTCGATTAAGGGTGATGCTATGAAATAAAAATGTATATTATTGTGCAAAATATATTTACTAGATTACATTGCAGTTGCAATCAAATCTGTTTGCATATCAAGTATTACTTTTGCCAACTGATGTTATATGCCATTGGAAATAACTGTACAAAATAAAGACTTTTATCACACCTCAACTCTCAACCTCAATCTGATTTTCTGTGCTCTTTGCAGGACTATACCATCACCATGTATTTCCAACAAAGCTGGAGGGACAAACGGTTGGCCTATTCTGAGATGGCTTTGAACCTCACTTTGGACAACCGTGTGGCTGATCAGTTATGGCTCCCAGATACCTACTTCCTGAATGACAAGAAGTCTTTCCTGCACGGTGTGACGGTGAAGAACCGAATGATTCGGCTCCATCCAGATGGCACTGTTCTTTACGGACTGAGGTAAATGCCATTGCTCTTGTAATATCATTATTAGCTATGTTTCCATCCACCTATTTTTTATGCGCATTTTGGATTATCGCATAAAAAAACGCTGGATGGAAATGCCGAGATGCACATAAATTCTAAAAATGCGCATAAAAAAATATGTTACTTAAAAAACTTAAAAATGTGCATAAACTACGATGGAAACACATTTACCGAATAAATTCCACCATGCGCATTGAAAAAGTCATGTGACTTTGCGCTATGAGACGGGATAAATTGACTAACCAGCGGACCGATCTCGTTCACAGCATCTATATGTTGTTTTGGTCGTTCTGAAATGCCTGAGGAAAGTCTGTCATCAAAGTATTTCTGTATAATTACTGTCTTACACGACTGCGTTCCCAAACAGCAGGCATTCACCCCTCGAAAGCAATGACCGCATTTATTGTGTTACGTCTTGCTCTCTCTGAAGCGCAAGCAATTTGTTACATATGAAAATTATTATATTCAGTGGCTTCTCCTAGTTTTCTTAGAGATATTTAGTGCCAGTTTATCAGGAAGTGACAACTTTGACTCGTTGGATGGAAACGGTGCTTTATTCGCAAATGTTTTATGCGATATTCCAGTTTTGCGCATAAGTTAAATTCACATCTTTGGATGGAAACATAGCTATTGTCTTTAAGTCCGCATGAAATCAAAACTGACCCTATTTACTTTATTAGTGCACATTACTAGTCTTGTGGTGAACAATTAATCCACAGGAAAAAAAGCGTTTTGTCCTCGTAATCTTTAGTCAAAATCTGAAAATTTGCTTTCCCTCAGAAATGCTGTTCCTTCCTTCAAATTGACGTCGTCAAGTGTCAGTCTGCAGTGAGCTAGAGATGTCGAGAATGTGCGCTGAAATCTAGCCCCTCCCTCTATTTTTCGTAATATTCTAAAACACCACAATTTGGTCGCAACTTCCGGTTGACACAGACTATAAGATGATTTTAATAAACTGAAAAAATAAAATAATGAATAGGATTCACTCACTTAGTCCAAGCTTACTGTTTGTATCTAGCCTGCAACCATTTTATGCGACATCATTCTTGAATTAATTGTTCGTATCAGTATCAAAGTTTTTTGTTTAACTTTAATTATTGGTAAAACTTGCTAGCACAAGGTTATCTATGGGAAAGCTTCTATTTGGGGTGTGTGAAAGATATCTGTTAATGATTCACAGCACTGACAAACCGTGTTGAAAATGAAGGTGCTAATGATATTGGGTGGAAAGTGTGATCACATGAAGATGATTTGCCATTTTTGAGTTCAACTCTGCTTCGAACTTCCTTGTTTGAACTGTCCGTCTCCTTTTGGACAAACTTCTACATCAAAGTGGCTCTTATTCTCCAAAAATATAGTATTGCATATAGCAAATTACTTTTCCTTTAGCCAGTTGAGTTGATTTGCCTGATCTGCTAAGGATACTCGCATGGTGAGTTAATGAGTGAGAAATCAGAATTGCTGCAGTTTCCAGTTGAAATGAACACTAGAGATGGTAAAACTCCAACAACTTTGATTCATTTTTTTACACAAAGTATGATTTACAGAGCCAGAGTTTTGATTAAGAAAGCCTAATTCCTTAATCAATTCGCACAATTCCTTGCACAATGTCATCTTCTGACTTCAAAACAAATTTAACATGCTGCGAGATTTGAAAACTGATATTTTTGAACGTTACCGTCACATATACAGAAACATACTGTATGTATGGGTTTTCCGAAACAGCAAGTTTGTTCGGTATAGCTATTGTGTAGGTTAAGGGTTGGGTTTGGTGTAGGGGGGTTGTTATTTAAGGAAGTTAAACTAGCATGGTTGCATCAGTGAATGCGTTTTTATATCACTTTTGCTTTCGTTAACACTATTGTGTAGGTTAAGGGTTGGGTTTGGTGTAGGGGGGTTGTTATTTTCCAACACAATAAAGCATTAACCATTTAGCAACACTCGCCGGATATTCAAATTCTGAATACATACCTGAAGCAACCTAATAAAAAATGCTGCAATACGTGCCTGAAGCAAAACACAATAAAAATGTGGCCACAGTCACAAACTGAATGCACGTTTTAGCACCACTCACTGGACATTAACTTTGAAGCTGCTGTGAAACGTGCTGTATGGTGCGTAATATCAGTGTTGCAGAAACGTCGCCACAAAAACGCATTTCCAATGAGCCTGGGTTGTATCAGAACCCTGCTAATTCAACACTTTACAGTAGGACTGTCATTATATAGGATAACAATATAGGCCACACTGTGCCACATCCAGTGTAGACAGCAATACTGATTATAATGGGTTCTGTTGGGTTTTGATTCATCATATCATGCTGCTCATATTCAGTTTAGACAAGGTGTAATAATGTAAAATTTGGTAAAATTCAACAGTCTAACAATCAACAATTCTCACAGTCAACCATTAGAACCCACCTCTAAATGGTTCCACATAAGATGGAACATCTAAGAACTGTTGTCTCAAATGTCATCCTTCTTTGGACAAACAGAGGCACAAGAATAAAAGCAAAGCACTCTCCCTCCTCACTCTGCTATGCATTAACCCAGAACCACACCAGCAAGGCAGAGAGTTCACTCTGGGGGCCCCATTCAATCAAACTATCAATAATGAAAGATGACAAACTGTTTCCTCTTCCAAGAGGCTCTGGCACAGGTGGAATCGAGGAATCGTAGCGAGGCCATAGGTTGGTTGCTTTTTTCCCCCTGAGGGTCTCTCAAACCTGCACCACTGTAGAGAATTTAAATGTAAGGGGAACTAGAGCTTGGATGTTTGCAGTATTGATACGTCCACTCTTAATAACGTCTTAAGATGGGTCTTTGCTGGCTCTAAATTATTTATGAGTCAGGACTGTTGTTAATGTTTAATTATCATGTCATGCCCTGCTGTGTCTAAAAAGGGATTTCGAATTAATGTGCCTTAGTCAGCTTTAGTACAGCTACAGTACGTATGCAAAGCATCCTCCATATGACCCACAAATGCACAGATTTATAAATATGCAGTGGTTTGTGCTTTATGGGGATTTGGAGGAGAAAGCTAATGCTCATATTGAAGGGTTTTAAGCAAGCAAAGTATTTTAAAGATTGTTTACACTGAGCATCTAAGGTAACTGACTGTTTACTCCACATTTCCAAGAAAGCATGATAATAAAGAAATATGAGTGACATGAAATGAGAACAGATGAAGAACACAAACAAGCAGCTGTTATTGCATAAAGTATGTTATATATAAATAATGTGTTTTTACCGATGTTGTTTGCTCCTTAGCCATGATAATTATAGGACGCTCACAGTGAAATGCACAGACGGCAGTGTAATAGCTACATTACTATGTTACACCCATGCTTCGTTACCTAATTTAACTCCACCGTCATGTGTATGCCGTTTGCTGTTGCCATGTTCACTGTTATTGTCTGTCGAGGTTATATATAACACTACAAGAAATGAGAGTTTTATTTTATAAATATATTCCAGTATCAATTACTAATAACTTGCTTTAAGGTAATGTAATGCAAATAATTCAAATTTTAAAGTAATGCACTATGACAACTTCTGGATTACCTCAAGATCATATATGCTAAATCTAAAATAATAATAATATATTTTTTTTAAATGGCACACATTTTATGCAGTGAAAGCAAGAACATATATTTGTGTTTTAAAAAAAAAATGTAATTCCTTTCCTGTATGTTTGCTGCTCAAATTCTATAATTCTATTTAAATGAAATGTTCACAACAGAATATAGTTACCATTGTGTATTCTGATTACATAACGGCAGGGTTCAAAATATACTTTTTGTCAATGAAATTTAGAAAACCAACCATATTCTATATCATTTCTATTCTAAAATATACAGTGCAGTATTTGTGCTTCCTTATCACAATGGGATTCTTTATCTGTTTGTCTTGCATATAAGTGACAGACAGAGCAGGTCATTTGTTACTCGCTACATCATAGACGAGATGAGTCAGTCTCCATCTTTCAGCGAAATGACAGCTGTCACAAAAATGCGTAGAGGCATCATGATTTTGCTCCTATTATATTTATTTTGGAGGCTTAACACAAATTTCACATATGTGTTGCCACATTGTGTTCCGAGGAACGACTTCTAGATGCAATGTGACAAGATTATAGTGAATTTGAAAAAAAATCAATCACAAATCATAGCCAATAAGAAGAGCATCTGGGTGGGCCCTCTCTACAAGCGCACTGCTGTCTTGCACTTGCAATGAAATGGATAAGTACATAATCAAATTATTTAAAAGTATATGCAAAATACTAATGCAATCTTTGTCATGTAATGCACTTGTTTCCTTACACAGTGTTCCCAGTGCAAATATGTTCATGCAGAATATGTGCTTTTTAAGTACTAATAAACAGCCAATATGTTAATAATATGCATGCTGATAAGCTAATAGTTAATAGTGAGAATTGTTCCCTATACTAAAGTGTTACTAAAATATTTTACAAAACCGAAAAAATGGTACATGAGCTTTCTTTCAGCTGCAACGCTTTTTTTTTTTTTTGTATGGACCTTGACACTCATGGTTGTTATATGGGAAGGAGCTGCAAAAACATTATTCTTTTGTGATCAACAAAAGAAATAACATCAAACATTTTGGAAGGATATGACTAAATAATGACAGATGTTTCATTTTTGTGTGAACGATTACTTCAAATGCTGTGAGGTGCTGAGAGATGCATTTCTGAGCATGCTGATAAGCTAATAGTTAATAGTGAGAATTGTTCCCTATACTAAAGTGTTACTAAAATATTTTACAAAACCGAAAAAATGGTACATGAGCTTTCTTTCAGCTGCAACGCCACATCCGAAACTAGAATCCCCTGTTACTCATCGCGTTTCACTGTCATGGATGGTTAGAGCAAAAACTCTGATTAACATTGAAAATAACTTTTTATCACATGCTTTGGTGCGTCTGGTTAGGTAGGACATGGTGTTAATCTGAATTCCATGCAGCTCTGAAGAATGCCACATTGTCACTTTATAGACTACAGTCTCGAATGATCGTTTTTGTCCATCACAATACTCCATACATCAGAGCTGTTCACTAAAGTACACACGTCTGTCAGCATCAGATTTGACCAGCTAGAAGTTCCCTGGAGAGACTGAGTCAGCACTGAGTATGTGGATCCAATAATTCCCAAACCCAGCATGAAGTCAGACTAGAGGAATGTGGACAGGGATAAGAAAATGAGGTCAGAGGAGAATAATACTGTCGTTATCAATGATTAAATATGATATGGCTATACTGCATACGAGGAATGAATATAAATGCAACTATAAATTTGCCCCAAAATGATTTGTAACGCTAAGAGAAATTAAGACTATTCACACATCTCATCTGCACAAAAGAAGAAAAAATATGCAGAAACAATTCTCAAAAATAGCTAGTAAATTTCACAGACGATTACAAAGAAGCGGCAAGTAACACACTGAATGCATGAAATGTATTCAGTGTGCATAAGTATTCTCTTATAACTCCAAACTAATTTACTATTATTATCATTCATTCATTTATTTATTTATTTATTTTATTTTTATTATATATATATATATACAGTATATATATATATATATATA